CCAGGTCTTCTAGGTTCTTCACATCGGTCCAGGATATCCCTGTCTTCTCGTTTTCCACTGTCTGACGCATAATCCAGTCCACCACAATTAGGAATATCATTGGTGATAATAAGCACCCTTGTCTGACTCCTGTGTTTACTCCAATCGTCTCACTGAGTTTTCCGTTGTGGATGACTTGACATGTGCCATTGTCGTACAGTTGTTGAATAAGGTTGATGAATATTTGGGGTACACCGTAATACTCGAGTAGTTTCCATATTTCTTCTCGGTCAACGCTGTCGAAGGCCTTCTCAAAGTCTATAAATTTGAGGTAGAGGTTTGATTGCCATTCCATGCTTTGTTCGATGATGATGCGTAGAGTTGCAATTTGGTCAGAACATGATTTGCCTTTCCTGAATCCAGCTGGCTCTGGTCGGAGTTCTGTATCCAGTACGTACTTTATTCCTTCCAGGATGATGCGAGTCAGGATTTTACTTGGCGTCGAAAAAAGCATGATTCCTCGCCAGTTCTTGCAGAGTCCTAGGTCGCCCTTCTTTGGTAGTTTCACGAGGTAACCTTTCCTCCAGTCAGTAGGCACCTTTCCCTCCTTCCAGATCTTTTGCAATAATGGAGTCAGCATATCTGCTGTCGTCTCTGGGTCCGCTTTCAGTGCTTCCGGGGGCATTCCATCTGGTCCAGCTGCTTTTCCAGCTTTCAGAAGCTTGATTGCATTCATGACTTCAGTTTTCGTTGGAGGATTGGTGTCAACTTGCAGTTGTGTACGTGCTGTTGTTGGTATTACTGGACGGGTTGTAGGTGGTGGTCGGCTCAAGAGTCCTTTGAAGTGGTCCGCCCATTGTTTAATCTGTCTTTCTTCTTTGGTAATTGGGTTCCCTTGGCTGTCTTTTATAGGTTTCACTTGTGTTGATCTCTTCCCGGATAGAGACTTGGTTATCTGATATAGTGTCCTCAGGTCCCTTTGGCCTGCTGCCTTCTCAGCTTCAGTAGCCAGGTTGTCGTAGAATTGTCTTTTGTTCTTCCTGGCACTCTTCTTCACTTCTTTGTCCAGTGCTGTGTAAGTTGAGCTCGGCGTCTTTTTCTTTTGTCCGTCATTGCATTGAATCATTTTTTCTTTCACCATTCTCCTCTCCTCTATTAGTTTCCAAGTGTCTGTTGAGAGCCATTCCTTGTCTTGTTTCTTCTTTCTTCCTAAAACTGTTGAACACGTTTCGTTGAAAATTACCTTCAGAGAGTTCCAATGGTCTTCCACGGATGATTCCTCAGTGATGCCACGTAGTGTTTCCTGCTTTACTCTGACAGTTGCAGTGAAAATATCCTCTGTGATTGTGTCCTTCAGTTTATGCGTGTTGAACTTGCATTGTGGCCTATCCCCAGGTATCCTGGAGGCTTTCAGCTTCACCTTGAAAGTCCCTTGTACTAGATGGTGGTCTGAACCCACATCTGCTCCTCTCCTCGATCTTGTGTCCAGTAGGCTCCGTCTCCACTTCCTTGAGATTGAAATGAAGTCTATCTGGTTTTCGGTGTGTCCATCTGGTGAAATCCATGTTGCCTTGTGTATATCCCTGTGTTTGAACACACTGCCACCAATCACCAAATCGTTGAAGACGCAGAAGTCTCAGAAGAGTTCACCATTTTCGTTCATTTCACCGAGGGCCTCGCGACCCATAGTGAGCTCTCTTCCTGTATTGTCTCCTCCCAGTTTCGCATTCATGTCGCCCATCAGGATTTTGATATCGCTCTTTGGGACGTTGTCCATTACTGTTTGCAGTTGGCTGTAGAAATCCTATTTCTTCTCATGTTCTGAGACGTTTGTAGGTGCGTAGCATTGAATGATTGTAACCTTTTTTTCCTTTTGAGTTGAACCTGGCTGTCATTATCCTGGAGGAGATTGGTTTCCACTGCATGAGAGCTTTAGCCGCTGTTGGTGACATCATGATGGCTACTCCCTCGGTGTGCTCGTGATTGTCCTCTGGGTGACCGGAGTAGATTATTGTCTCCCCAGTTGGTAGTTGGCACCTTCCACATCGGTTCCATCTGTTCTCATAGATTCCCAACACTTCCATTTTATATATCCTCATTTCTGCGGCTACCTGAGCAGCCTTTCCAGTTTCGTACATTGTACGAATATTCCACGTCCCCATCCTTATTTTTGCTTTCATCAAAAGAAAGCACATCGGCTGACTGGCTTCCCGAAGGCTTTCACCAGCCTGCGTCATTTCACTACCCCGATTCCAGCGAGAAATAAGGTCATTGTTTGTATTTTTAGAATTTTTAATATGTTTGTGCGTTGAAGTTTTCGTAGCAATTTGGTTAAGTTTTGGGGGTGGAGTTGCTAGCACCACGCCCCAACCCTGCTTCTTTATCCGGGCTTGGGACCGGCTAGAATACTAGTGACCTAGTAATCTAGGCGAATGAAGTGACCTCTTTCAAATCCCTCCCGTTGATGGTGATTTCGGTGGAGTTTATTGCATGATATTTACCCTTCATCCAAGGATTTCAAGCGACAGATTAATTGACAGTAGATCGTGTCAGACAGCTCTATCTGAGCTGAAGAGCAAACGAATCCACTATAGTATCTATTCTTTCTGTCCTTCGAGGAGTACATGACATTTTGTGAATGTCAATTATAGAAAGTTCAGATGTAAATTTTGTGGACCATAGACATCACTCAGGAACGATCATCTCATGTATTAGGATAAGCCGCCATCGAAGATAACGTTGTTTCATGCGTTTAGTTGGAACTTCCGAATCAGTGGCTTGTAAATATTTTAAATACTCACCAGAGCAAACAGTACTAATAGAGGTCACATTGTACTAAGCATAAACAAAGTGAATAAGAGAAACTATATACAATATATTGGTGGAGATTTTTCGGTAGCTCAAGTTTTAAGAGGTCCGCTCATGCATACATTTACTTTTTCGACTGTTTGATACATTTTTACGAGTTGATCACGGATTGATATCAGTTAGAGAACCATTGAAAACCAGGGAGTACTGGAGACCTGCTGTTTCATCCTAGTTTGGGAATCATCGGCAGTACGCATCCACTGCGATTCGAACCCAGGACCTTCCGGTAACAAGGCAAGCTCATATACCATTCAGCCACTGAGACACGATTCAATGGCCAGTCCATGAATTCTAACTTCTACCAATTCGTGATTTAGCGTGACCCCAACCATTGTCGTTGGTGGGACATCCATCCACACACGTGGCATCTAATTAGACCTCACTGGTCACGACTTCTCACTAGAACTGACTCCAGGAAACTCCATCCTGTAGCATGTCACTAGCGAACATCAGATTAATTTTCTATAGTTTGGTTTGTAAGGGTTTGTTATGTTTTTGTTTGATATATGGATATTTCATTTAGTTTTAAGGTTGATTTTGTCACGAGTTAGCTTCATTTACCGAGTCACTGAATACCAAGGAGAAATGGATAGCTACTTCATCCTGTTTTCAGCTTCTTCAGCTGTAAGGAAGGACGAGTTATCTCACGAATTATCAAACTTTAGAAGCTCGGGTTTCTTTATTCCCTGTCAATTCGCTGTATATTCACGGTTCTACCGAATGTACATTCCGGATTTAGAAGGGAAAGTCGCAATCGATGGGTTTTCTTAGTCGGGTGTCAGAACAGACACGCACCGATAAAAATGATTGATATCGGTGGTGTGTGGCATAGTTACGGATGTCAGAATTCACTGACGGCTAGATTTTCATTTAGTACCTGAATGTTAGAAGCGTTTCTGTTGCACAATTAAAAAAAGTAATTTAATGGCATGCACGTAGGTGAATTTTAGTGGAAAGCATTCCATAGTTTAACCCCTTTCAGATGAAATATATATTTGTCTCTTTTATTGTATATTCCGTTTATCACTGTGATACTAAGTAATCGATTTGCTTTGTGTTAGTAAAATGAATAAATCTCAATACAGAAACTATACGATTGGAATTCGGTATTATCCTCGTCATTAAGAAAATATAACCATCAAAGGGAAACATCCACTTGTATAAACCTATCTTAGGTTTATATATATATGTCTATATTCCTTGAAGGGAATTATTAAATGTAACTAAATGAAAGTGCTACTATATGGATCAGAGACGTGGTGCTTCCCGAAAGGAACTTCGAACAAACTACAGACATTCATCAATAGCTGTCTTCTCTCAATACTTCGCTCAAGATCAGATGGTTGGCCAGAAAAGATCAGCAACAGGGAGGGATCTCTGGCAATCAGCGAACCAACCAACCAGGGACCAATTGTGCGGCAAATATGCAGGAAGAAATGAAGGTGGATTGATTGGCCATACTCTGTGAAAACAAACCATCAAATGAGTGACATCACACTCCAGGTCATCGCTGTCGAGTGGAACCCGAATGGGAAGTGGCGAGTTGGTTGGTGGTCAGTACGAGGGTGAGGTGACATGGGGGAGGTAATGTGAAGAGTAGATGAAAGCATATAGGCAAACGTGGAGCCAGGTGAAAACGTTGGTGGAGAACCGAACGCAATGGAGACGTGTGACTTAAGCTCTATGTTCCTCTAGGAACTAAAGGAGACAATAATATAGTATATTATAATAACTAAATCAAAGGTGTGCTAAGCACTGCAAAACTTTCCCCTGCCTACCACGTAAAGTGGACGAGTAAATATTGCATTGAGAGATAATTGCAAGTTTATCTTTTTCACTCTTGATGGGATTAAAACAAGTTCTTGGGAAGTATGAAATAATCACTGGAGACTTAGATCTTATCTCCTATCGATCATAATGAAAATTTATCAGTAAAGTTCACTTTGAGTCGTCAGAGTATGCTGCGTTAATTTTAGCCACATTGATTGATGACTGAGAGTGTCTTCAAAGTGTCTATGTGACGTCTTTCGTCTAATTCATGAAATACAGAAGAATACTCAAGCAGATTTAGGTTAAACTGAGTGTCAGCTCTATTACTCTGCTGATTTGAAATTTTTAATCCCACAAACATTGTTTATTTATTTATTTTATAGAGCTATCGGTGTACGTGATAAATTAACTACATTCTATAAATCACCGAATGCAACTTCATCGCAGTCGTATTCAGCTGATTTTGCTATTTCAAAGCATCGAGTATTCCTGAATAAAGTGTTTCGTTCAGGTAGGCCGACAAGAGAACAAGTTGAGGAATGGGCACGTTCATTTGAAGCTGTACTAAGAGATAAACGTAAGCTTACTAATCAAAGTTTCATTGACAAATTAAAATTTACTATTTGTTGAAGTTATTACCTTCATTTTCCATTAGTTAGTTGGTTTATTGGACCGGAAAGCTCATTCCATGTCGACTCAATCTCTCCTAGTACGGTAAATCAATGATGTTCTAAGCTTAACATGGTGTAATTTAATTATTTTTAATTAGCAGGAGGTGACAGCTCATGGAAAATTTGGGAACCACCGTGAAACAATTGTGACAAACAGATTGAAATGAAGATCTGCTGTTGAAGCCCTGTTTTTTTAATCCTTCACGTTCCCAGTGGAACATAGGGCAAGCTAGATGCTTGAAGTTTCTGTTGCAGTGTTTATTTTTACAGGATGGGGTTGCTAGCCTCATGCTCAACCTTTTCCTCTTTACCAGCTTTATTTCTGGCTTAGCGAGGTAAAGGACTGCGTCAGCCGGGGATCGAACCCCGGACCATGTGCATGGTTGGTGAGCGTCTTAACCGCTATGCCACCGTTGCATTCGCACAGTGATACACCTACTGACTGGGTAATGGTTTTCAGGAGCGAGATCGACATACAGAATCATCTTGTGGCGCAACCACTAGAGAGCCCTCTCCCTCGGTGGATCCTGTATTTCACTCGAAACCAAGAAAATAACAGTGATAAGCAATAGGATCGTAGAGACCTATTTTCATGGGGACCTGTCAGATGGATTTACCTCCATCCAGAGTTAGCATGGGTAGTCTAGGGGTAGAGTGCCCTTGAGACACTCCGAGATCCAAGGTTTAATTCCTGGGCGACGTACTCCTAAACAGCTTGGCTAGTAGTAAGTCTTGTAAAGAGGGAAGGTTAGGCATGGGGCTTGCAACCTCACCCCATAAAAGTAACACCACGTATGCTAAAACTTCAGAGTTCAATCTTGGAACCCTTTGTTCCACTCGGAAAGCAGAATTTTGAAAAAAAATGTACAAGTGAACTGTGGTGTTCAGTGATATTCAATGCATTTATTATCCGGTCGTTATAGAAAATGCTAAAAGCAACATCTCCTTTTAATATTAGCAGTGCTGTTTATTCACATAGATAAACCTCTGTGAGTGTGATCACTCTCATGTGTCCAGTTTTCACAGGCCCTCAGTGAATTTTTATCATTCAAGTTCGCATTTTCGTCAGCTAACCAAGGAAACGCTCCCTCGGAGTGCCATTAGATGATTTGATGCAATCAGCGCACTCAGTCGTGAGGTTGTAGTTACACCTTGCTAATAAGAGCCAATAAACAAGAAACCTAAGTTTATAACTTTCTTCTGATTTCTTCTAATCATTTAATACTATTAATTATACATAAACACAAATGCATACATTATTTCAATTTCAACAAAGGATTGATGTCATTTAGGCAACTAGCAGAAAACACGGTGTTCTAGACGGCGTTTCTCTTTTTTTGATTGAACACTAGTCAGTAACTAATGTAATGTGTCTATTCCTCTATTTGGTGAAGAGTGAATTCTGTTGTCAGTCAAGTTTGTAATGTGACAGCCATTCTAGGTGGCCTGCCATCATCGTGCATTACGAATTGTTGCTATAAGGTGGCTGGAGGCAATCGGCAGGAAGCCTTCAACCTAAGTTTCATGCTAGTTGGCACTCAACAGTCAGCAAGGCGTATCTGCAATCCTGAAGGAACTCATGTCCCTTCTGAAATTCGAACCCGCGTCACCCGGTGAGTGCTACAGTCAGAGACGTTACCATTGAGCTATCTAACCGTCAAATATCGACAATTCAAAGCGCATCGTGGTGACGAGTCACCTGGAATGGTGGCCACAATGCAAACTTAACTAATAGAATTCAGCCTGTATCAAAGACACGACTAGACACACACACACATTGCACTAGTTACTGACCAGTATCCAATCAAAAATATCCACTACAGTCCTACCGATTGTCTCCAGCTCTTCTTCTTAGTCTGGTTCTTATCGACAGTACTCATCCACCGGGGTTAGAACCCGGAACCTTTTGGTAACAAGGCAAGCTCGTAGACCATTCAGACACTGTGACTGCATTCATTGGTCCATGAATTCTAACTTTCACCAATACATTATTCCCAAAAACTTCATAATTTGTTCTCAATTATTCTAGTTACTAGTCAGTGTAGATTAACAAAAGTAAAAAGTCGACATTTTCTTCCACGTGAACTGTAATCTTCGTCACCGCAAGTTATCCACTGAAGCCGAACTCGGGAGGAACAAACGAGGGAAAATCATGTGGGCTTTAGGCCAGGTAGAGGGTGCATAGATCATATCTTCACCCTCCGACAGATCCTAGAATATAGACACACTTTTAGGCGTCCAATAATTGCCATATTTCTTGACTTGAAGGCGGCCTTCGACTCCGTGGATCGAGAGGTACTATGGCAATGTTTGACTGTGAATGGAGTGCCAAGAAAGTAAATTGCACTAATCGAGGCACTCTACTCAAACTCACGTAGCCGTGTAAGGGCTTATGGGGAATTGTCATCTGAATTGATAACGACCAGTGGTGTCCATCAAGGATGTCCACTTTCCCCATTCCTGTTTAACTTCATCATAGATATTCTAATGGAAGTATCCTTAACTGAACTTAACGACTTAGGAATCGACTTGTTACCAGGGGATAGTCTTATGGACTTAGAATATGCAGATGACATAGTCCTGTTAGGGGAGGATGCTGACAAAATGCAGAGTCTTCTGAACACCTTGAGCAGCAATCTTCGTATGTTTGGCATGCGATTCGCCCCTGTAAAATGTAAGATGCTGCTACAGGACTGGACTACGTCAACTCCTAGCTTAGTGATAGGGAGTGAAGTGATAGAACATGTTGACCACTTCACCTATTTGGGAAGTTGTATCAGCACCAACGGATTGATTGGTGACAAAATCTCGGCACGGATCCAAAAAGTCCGGGCTGCTTTCGCTAACTTACACCATCTCTGGCGTAGGCATGACATCCGACTCTCAACCAAGGGACGTGTGTACTGCTCAGCAGTTCGCTCCATCCTTCTCTATGGCGGTGAGACGTGGCCACTGGGAGCGGAAGACATGAAGAGATTGTCTGTTTTTACCACAGATGTTTACGATCTCTTTCTCACGTTAGGTGGTATAATAAGGTAAGTAATGTCGACTTTAGGTTAGGCCTAGAATGTTGGGCAAAGAGGGAAAATCAATCGAAGAGGCTATCAAGTTACATAGATTGAGATGGCTAGGTCACGTGCTGCGCATGCATAACCATCGCTTCCCCCTCCCGACGGGCATTACTAGCTTATATTGGTGCAGGTTGGAAAAAAGTAAGTGGTGCCAAGCCAAGCAAAAACATGGCATCAATCAATCCATGAAATCGTTGACAGTTAAACTGAGTCAGGTAGGGAGGGGGATGCAGACTTCCGGGTTGGGGCCTGCCCTCAGAACTCTAAGAATCAATGGCTCGAGACAATAGGTGACATGGCTCAAAATCGTTGTCAATGGCTTACGCAGATGTATTCAGTCTCTTGTGTAATCTTTCATATTCCTTTCTATCATCACTCATTCTGTTTCACTCTTATACCTGTCAAAACTCTATTGATTCTCTTCACTCATTTTCTTGTCTACCTTTGTGTGTTCTTTGGAACATGGCAACTCGAACAGCTGCACTTCGTTGCCAAGTTCTATCTTGAATCCAGCCAGCCAGCCACTGAAGCTGGTTGATTAACTCATACGATATTCCGATAGAGATCAGAATAACATTATTTATTCTGGACATGCCTGGTAAATTTATTACTTGTGACTCGATTTAACTACCGCTTGAATTTAGAAACTATATCGCCACATATTTACCTACCTATAATTTATCCAGGGATAATTAGACAAGATGTACAACAGTAAATGTGTGGGTGGAATAGTTTACAGAAAGATACACTGTCTCATGACTGTCTAATTTAATTGTACACGTATTTCCAATAACAAATTTAAAAGAATATTATCAGGATTGTTAGAATGTAACAAATATCACCTTGAAATTGTCTATTCCAACTGGTTTCATCCAGTGCACAAACAAGGAACCAGTGGATGGAAAGTGGAACAAATGTTCCTACGTGTCACTCAAAGCTCTAATATCACGTCCACATTCATATTATTGTTTTATGGAAACATTGTTACCTTGTTATTTGGAGATTTATATAATAAAAGAAAAGGCGTTTAGCGAAGTGTTATTCTTTTCAGCTATATCATTCTCAAGCTGTACAATCGCTTGCATGTGCATTATTAAATTGTCTCATCAACAAAACGAATATTTATAAGGATGTGTCATTATTATTGTTATTGTTCCCTTTAATTCTTAGAGGAACATGGAGCTTCAGCCACACGTCTCCATTCCGTTCGGTTCTCCGCCAACGTTTTTACCTGACACCATGTCTGCACACATGCTTTCATCTCCTCTTCACACCACCTCCTCCATGTCACCCCACCCTCGAACTGACCACAAACTCGCCACTTCCCATTCGGGTTCCACTCGAGCGGTGACCTGGAGTGTGATGTCACTCATTTGATGGTTTATCTTCTCAGAGTATGGTGAATCCACCTCCATTTCTCCCCGTATATTTGTTGCACAGTCGGTTCCTGATGGGTTGGTTCGCTCATCGCCAGAGATCCTTCCCTATTGCTGATCTTTTCCGACCGGCCATCTGATTTTGAGTAGTATTGAGCGAAGACAGCTGGTAATGAAGGTGTGTAGTTTGTTTGAGGTGCTCTTCGTGACGCGGCGTGGCGCCAAGTCTCTGATCCATAAAGTAGCACTGACTTCACACTGGAGTTGGAAATCCGGATCTTATTTTTGATGCTGAGTGCTGTTTACCTCTACACAGACTTGAGAGAAATGAAAGGTTGCCTTGCTTTACTGATCCTCGCTTTGATATCTTCGTCAGTTCTGTCCGCCTGTAGTTGAAAAGATGCTTTCCAGGTAGGTAAAGGTTGTGTCATTATAACTGTAATGTAGAAAGAGTTAATCGGGTTGAAACTAAAATAAAATTAAAAAAACATTTTGAATGACGTAATGTAATTGATGGGGTTGAGTAGACCTCAACAAAAATTGGACAACAGTCAAGTTAATAACAGTGGTAATAAGGGGTAGAGATTTAAAAGGGGATTTGAGAGAAAATAATACAGTTAAGAAACAAAACCAAAAATTACCTATTTGTTATTAAGATATATCAGGTCCATTGTAGGCTTAATGACTGAACAAACTTATTTTACAAGGAGAATTCTGCTTCTGCAGTTTGAGGAGGTTGGATTCATACTCGTTTAGCGCGATCCCACGTATTGTATAGATTTAAGTGAAATTCCTTTGTGGGTTAGCCTGATGTCCAGGTTCAATCATGTGTTCAAGAATAGAGCTGTGGCGGGGGATCTGTTTTCTCCTTTACAAAGCCATCAGGGTAAGTACTCAGTCATACGTTTGGATAGTAAACGCCGAGTACAGCCGACATACTTAGCTCCATAGATTTAGGTGAACTGAATGGTTTGTTTTGTCGAGAAAGTTATTTGACGTTCAGCCGCGGATAAGGTTTTCTTCAGGGAACTGGACTGGCAGTTTATCAGTATTTCTATCGTTAAGTCTCCAGTGAATTTTTGATTCAAATAAAGAAGTTTTTCGGGAGCAGAAAGTGTGAGCTAATTAAGCGGTTTAGGTTTCATTGAATTCATGATGAAGCGTTCTGGGTAGCGATTTTCGAGGAGGATTCTTATCAGAGTGTTTGGTTCCTCTTCCATAGTGTGAGAGCTGTAAATTCTGAGGATTATGTGGCTCAGTTAACGGATCAGGTTTCGTTTTGTATTTAGAGGCACACAACTACGAGATTTAGTCAGTTTTCCGTTTCATGTCATCTTTCTGTAACCGGATCTTTTAAGCGTTACATTTATACAGTAATTTGTAGGCTTTATAGAATGAATTATATTTGTTATCATAGAGAAAAACAAAGAGTGCATTCTAGTGTACTTTTCCATCCTCATAGAAAGTTGCATCTGTTGTATCTGCTAAGTTAATGTTCGACGAGGTATCTTCTATAGTACAAATGACTATGTCTTGCTTTCATTCGACAGGGCCACATTTGATGGAGACGAGATATTGCATAACTTATTAAGTGTCAGTTTTATTTCACAGTTCTTTGGAAGCGAGTGTAGTTGAGGAAACCAATGTCTAATTATTATAGAGATTACAAAATGTAGACCCAGTGAAACTAAGCACATAATTCATTTTCATCGGCTGTTTTGAAGAAAACATTTGTTACGACTGCTTGTTCGCTTCCTTGCTCTCTTCTTGACTTCATGGGAAAACAGGATAACAAACAAAGTTCAACAATAGCAATCCCTGGGCTACGAAAGCACCAGTGACATTGAGGTGACTAATCAGGAAAACCAGTGGTTTTTACACAAAAATAAAGTTTATTTACAAGAGAAATATACAGAATAATGATAAAACTCATTCAACAGGATATTTTCCCCTGACACAACTTAAAAGTTTCCCCCCAGGTGCAGTGAGGAGCATAGGTTTTCAAGTCAAAGCAGTTTCTAAACATGAATTCATTGAAGTGACTGAAGATGAGTTCCTGTTGTGATTCGTTCATCGCTCTTATCCTGTTTTTAAGTCTTCCCCAGAGGCCCTCTATCGAATAAGTATGGGTTCTAGTGAGGATGTCAACTAAATCATCACAGGGATCCACTGGATGATGAATAAAACCCAAATCGAATAGCTGATCGTATTCCGCCCATTCGTCTGTATGAATGGTAATGCTAGGAATGAATCATCTTTGTATAGTGAGAAGAAAAGTATTAGAACTACGATTGGGAATCGCCTCCACAATTCCTTCCTGGCCCTAAATATCATTTCCCCAGGAGCCGCGTGATGGTATTCATCTTCCATGATGTTATATCTTTACACATTACCATTACACACCATGTAGTAACGAATTCTCCGTTTGTAGAGACGTTGATCTCAGTCCAGTGGCTAATGACAGATAACAAGAATATTTGTCAACGACAGCTTCTATTTATCAAAGAAAGTTCCTAGAAAAGAATGAGCTAAGTGCGTAGCTTACCAAATGATGGAGAAGATTTGTAGCTCAGGTGGATGGCTTTGATGTGGTTGTGTTCTCTGAGCTGGATAGTTAATTTGCTAAGCTTTCAAAGCCCTACTAGGTGACATCTTCAGCGCATACTTCAATTTGAAGTGAGCTTTTAGATTTCTCCACGAGTTTATTAATCATCTCTCCTGGCGATCTTGGACGTGATTGGTTGTTTTTGTCTGTTTTCACACCTTCTAGGTTACTTGTATTGTCACTCATTGTTTCTTCGGCTTGAACTTTGACCCTTTGTGTGTGAGGTTTCTTTCTTATCGGTTGATAAATTTTGTCTATGTCGATGTGTCTATTGATTGATAATTCACTGGAATGCCAAGCTTCTAAAGATTCTCTAGCATTCTTGTTGTTTCCTCTGTCTAATATTTGAACGTTGTCCTAGTCGAATTGATGTCCTTGGTTGTCTGTATGTAGTGATATTAGGGAGTGGATGTCATGTCATTTGACGGCTAGCTTATGTTCATGGATACGAAGACGAAAGGGACGTCCACTTTGGCCAATGTAGTGTTTTTCGCAATTGTTACAATTTATCTTGTAGATGATGTTGATTTTATCTTCTTTCGTTGTTGAGTCTTTTGGTTTACGTAGAATTGAGTAAGTGATTTTGCTGGTTTGGGTTCAGCGTAAATTACTAAAGGTTTGACGAGTCTTTCAGTGATTTCTGATATATCCTTTATATATGGCAGGGCAACTTTCTTTGTAGTTTCCTTGAGGGCTTTTGGTCTGATAGGTTGGCTTACCATTTTGAACACTAATTCATTTCCTATACTGTGTACACCTCAATACATGTCCATCAGTTATTTCTGAAGACTGCCGGATGTACACAGAAGCACCACAAAAACACTTACAGCTACATGGTAAGAACTCATTATCTAAACTGTCCTTAAAAACTAGATCCGGATGGCGATCCACATAGTGGAATGTACGTTTCCTTAAAGTGTTAAAGTGCGGCTGTTAAGCTTGACTAAAGATTATTGATGAAATAGGTCGCTAGTATAATGTCATTTACAGCATATCGTCATTTTAATTGTAATACTTTGTTTCTCGAAAAGATTATGTTTATTATGTGATGTGCCATTATACAACTGGCTGGAAGATTACTTTATCTTTTCATATTCTCTTTAATCCTTTGTGTCATTGTTTCTGTTGATGACGATGTGTAGTGTTATTAAGTAAAGTTTGGAAACCTTCTGCACTCAGCATAAGCAACAAGATTCTCATTTTCAACACCAATGTCGAGTCCTTCTATAAGGGTCAAGAACTTCGCTTGTCACGAAAAGGATTTCCAACAGGTTGCAGATTTTCATCAACAGCTGCCTCCGCTCCCTGCCGAATATCAAATTGCTGGACTGAGAGAATAAGCAACAAGAAACTATTGCAACAAACCAACAGGGGACAGCCAATCGCTCAACAAATATGTAGGAGAAAAAATAGAGATGGATTGATGGCGCATACATTGAGGAGGCTGTCGAATGACATCTCACGCCAGGCCCTCAAGTGGAATGCAAATGGGAAGCGATGAGTAGGTGGTCCTATGGTGACATGGAGGAGATCGTGTAATTTTGGTCAATTGCGGACCCAGCCGAAGAGGACGTCAGAAAACAGAACAAAGTGGAGATGTTCAAGTGTTGGATGGTGGGGATTTGATTGGTTGGTTAGAGGATTCCATCATTAGCTGAGATTGGTTAGAGAACCACTAGAAAACCTGGGAGTACTGGACAGCTGTTTCGTCCTAGTTAGGGTTTCTTCATCAGTACGCACCCACCGGGATTCGAACCCAGGACCTTCTGGTTACAAGCAGGCAACCTCGTGTACCATTAAGCCACTGGGACGCAATCTACTGGCCCATCAATTCTAACTTCTGCGATTGGATCGGGCCCCAGTGGTTTAATGGTCCACGAGGTCGCCTTCTTGTAACCAGAAGGTCCTGTGTTCAAACCCTGTCAGTGGTTGTGTACTGTCAAAGAGTCCCAAACTAGGACTAGTCCCAAACCGCTGTCCAGCACTCCCAGGTTTTCTAGTGGTTCTCTAACCAATGTCAGCTCATGATGAAATCCTGTAAAGTGGAGATGTGTTGTTGAAGCCCTATTTTCCACTCGGAATGCAAAGGAATGTTAATAAATAATAATAATACACTTTTGAATTGGTAATGTCTGCTGCAATTTACGAACGTCAAAACTTGTTGCAACAGAAAGTAAATAGAAAACCATTTATCGAAATTACCATCGCAAACTGACAAAAACTGGAGTTCATGGGTCACTGGATTCCGTCCCCGTGGTTGAATGGGTAATGAGCTTGCCTTGTAACCATAAAACCCCAGGTTCAATCCTCTGTAGAGTCACGGATGTGTATTACTGATGATTCACAAATGAAGACGAAACACCTAATGAGGAATACCTGGTTTTTAGTGTTTCTGTAACTGATATCAATCCGGGTTCAAACCTGAAACGAAATGTGTTCAACACCAAGTATGCGAAATTCAAATTTTGCAATATAAACAGTTTAAGTGGCTAAATTTGCAAATACTTAGGACATTTTTTATGGTTACTACCAACTGAAAAACTAACTACTCTCACATTCTTTTTTTCAAGATGGTGTTATGGTATTCAGAGAATTTCTCCGTACTGAATTCAGTGATGAAAATATTCGTTTTTGGCTTATTTGTGAAGATTATCGTAATAAATCTGGTTCAAAGAATATGCAACGGAAAGCTTTTAAAATATTCAATGAATATGTAGCTGTTCAAGCTGCGAGAGAAGTAAGTAGATTAAACATTCTTTTTAGAAATTTCAAATTGCTTATTACTATTATTATTATTGTTTCCTTTAATTCCTACAGGAACATAGGGCTTCACCCGTGCGTCTCCATTGCGTTCGGTTCTCTGCTAGTCTTCACCTGGCTTCAAGTCTGCCCACACGTTTTCATCCCCTCTTCACATGACTTCCTCCAAGTCACCCTTGCACTGACGACCAACTCGCCACTTCCCTTTCGGGTTCCACTCGAGCAATGACTTGTCTAGTGATGTCACTTGATGGTTTCCTCAGAGTATGGCCAATCCGACTCCATTTCTTCCTACCTACTTGTTGTACAATCGGTTCCTGGTTGATTCGCTCCCAGAGATCTCTGTTGCTGATCTTTTCTGGCCGGCCATCTGATCTTGAGTATTGATCGAAGACAACTGTTAATGAAGGTCTGTATTTTGTCTGAAATGCTCTTTATGACGCTCAGTGCAAGTCTCTGATCCGTATAGTAGCCCTGACTGACTTCACATTGGAGTTGAAAATCCGGATCTTAATTTTTATGCTGAGTGTTGTTGACCTCCACACAGGCTTGAGAGTAGTGAAAGCTTGTCTTGCTTTCCCGATTCTTGCTTTGATATCCTCGTCAGTTCCGTCTGCCTGCAGTTGAAACGATGCTTTCCAGGTAGGTAGGTGCAGGAGGTTTTTTCTTTCAGGCTCCTTCCATATATGCTGATTGTTGTCTGTTGCTGTTGTCCAGGAATCCTCATCACCTCTGTTTTCTCTATGTTCACCTGAAGTCCTATCTTTGTTGTTTCTTCTGCCAACTTGTTGCTTTTCGCTTGCATATCTTCCAGTTTGTGGGAAATCAGACATATATCATCGGCGAAGTTCAGATCCTCCAAGTTTTTGTGATTCCTAGAGGACAGTGTATATTCCAGTCGAAGTGAAGTGTATCCTCTCTGATAGATTATAAAACTATAAAACAGAAAAGAGGCACTTTCTCACTTCTACTTGTCAGTGCTGATGGCTGGTCCAATTGTCATATATAAGCAAACGCCTTGTATCACTGGTTTTCAAACGTTTTATCTTGAGGAAGCTGTTACATGACATATGACTGAGTAATCATACTTTTTATCAACTAACAAAAACCACTGAATTCTGTCGCGTTGGTGGTCCATAGGTAGAATGCTCGCCAACAAAGTCTCACTTAATCTGGAGTTTGATTCCTGACCGACTCATTCCTGAACCTCACCTATCCGGTAATAAGACCAGTTAAGTGCAAAGGTTGGGCGTGGAGCTAGCAACCCTATCCCGTAAAAAAATCACTACCGTTACTGGTACTGCATAGCGCTTTAGTTTGGAGCCCTACGCACCACTAGAAACTTTTTTTAACTCCTTTACGCTGCCAGTGTTGGCACATAGGGCTTCAAGCTAGAGACTTGAAGTTTCGGTAGAAGTAATGTTTATTTTACGGGATAGAGTTGCTAACCTCATGCCCAAAATTCCTTCTTTACCAGTATTATAACCAGCTTAGTGAGGAAAGGAGTGCGTCTGTGGCCGGGGATTGAACCTCGAACCACCTGCATGGCTGGCCAGCATTCTACCACCGTGCCCCCTTGCGCTCCACTAGAAACGTAAATGAATAAAATAATTATAATAATCGAATATTGCTGCATTCAAGACGTGTTTTCAAAGAAATCTAGATTTACTAAAATGGTTTTAAGATTTGTCACACTTGACAAAATAGGAATGACCTATTTCAGTATATTAAATTTTCATCCCTAGTGACTGTTACAGTATCTAAAAGCTACAATTTACAAAAAGGACAAAGTTTTAAACTGAGAATCATAACGAACAGTGTTGGATAGATGGAGGCAGTTGGTAGGAGGCCTTAGACCTAGGTTTTTCGCCCTCTGACACTTGCCAGCAAGACGTATCTGAGGTCTTAAAGGAATTCATGTCCCTTCTGAAATTCAAATCCTGGGCAGTCATTGCTGCAGTCACAGATGTTACTAGTGAACTCTTCGGGTCGGCGAATGTCTACCTGTGGGACTGTACTCAATACTTTCATTTGACTCTATGTAGTAACTAATGTCACGTGTCTAGTCCTTTGGTTGGTGCAGACTGAATTCTGTCAGTTAAATCCTACAGGAGGTCAATCATAAACACAAACAAGACTCAGTTTCAAATCTCAGACTGTAAATACACCTTGCTGATGAGTGCCAAGAACTACGAAACCTTATTTCAAAGATTCTTACAGGTTGCTTTCAACCATCTAACAAAAGTAAAATATTCTGACAGAAGGAACTAAGCAATACTGCTAAGATTTTTGTTTGCACTCTACTGTCCGAAAAAGAGCATTTATGTAACAGGCCAAAAGCCACACTTATTATAGCTTGATTTCACACCTTATTTTGGCACAACTATGGAATTCTCAGCATGTGATATCGGTAGCCCAAATTTTGCAGGCCAACCATTGATATCAGGTGTGCATCGGCAGGGGATCGAACCTTGGACCATGTGCATGGTCGGCGAGAGTCCCAAACACTGTACCACTGTCACACAAAATCCAACCGAAGGGATGGGATTTGAACCCACGTGGGGAAACCCTAATGGACTACCAGTTCATCGCTGTAACCGCTCGACCACCCCGTCACTTATCACACCTGTGAAGACTGAAACTGGTTCGAAGTGACTAAAACCTGTCACCCATCCTTGAGGATTTGCAACTGCAAATGCTAATGCTGATTCTTTGACATCTTCTATCGAGCTATGAAAAAAGCTTCTATTTAACCAACGTTGATAAAATACTTACCACTGAATTGTGGAGTGAAGTTCTGAGAACAGTTATCAGTCAGGAATGTGGTTATTAATTTTTTTTTAAATGAAGATTAGTGTTAGAAAACAGTCAGGTTAACACCCTGTCTAGCAGAGACTTTCATTTAACTTATACACCACTAATATCCTATCTCATATCAGATTCTCTCCCACTATCTAGATGAGAAAAACAACAAACTTCTGTGAAATTCTGTGAAATGTATATAACCAACAAAAAGACGTGCTTATCACTTGATATCACATCATTATACCTCCACAGTTGATGCTAACTCATCGTCACACCTAAAAGTGACGACTATCATTTAATCCAGATGAAAAAGATTAGACAGTCATGTGAATACTTGATATTGTCTTCTGTAAAGCTTCCATTATGTCCCTCTAGATAGCACCACTTTTCTTAATTCTTTTATGTTCCCAGTGCTGGAATATAGGGCTTTAAGCTAGAGGCTTGAGGTTTCGGTAGTAGTGGTGTTTATTTTTACAGGATGGGGTTGCTAGTCCCATGCCCGACATTCCTTCTTTTTTCCCAGCCTTTTTACTGGCTTAACGAGATAAAGGAGTGCGTCTGTTGCCAGGGGTCGACACCCGGACCACCTGCTTGGTCGGCGAACACTCTGCCGCTGTGCCACCGATGCCCACCTTCAGTCATCGCCTTAAAGTGACGTTCCTCGAATGTTGGAAGTGAACATGTGTGATCTATAAGGATAACATAAGCTCTGTAGTTAATCTAGTCAGTTCAGAGAACACTTCAATAATAAGAAACATCCACCTGAGATAGAAGTCCTCCTGTTGAATTATCGAACATTCTCAGAATATGTTCTGTTTATTACGAATTATTGTGCTAAATAACTTGATTTCTCTGGTCGATCTGTACTTGATTAGTAAAAAACTGTTATTAGCTGCATGCATATGGGCGTATTTGGTGGTAGCAAATAAAATTACACTAGTCAAGTGTTGGTTTGCAAGTACAGCTGTTTCGTCCTAGTTTGAGACTCTTCAGCATTACGCACCCAATACTGTTCGAACTCGGGACTTTCTGGTTAGAAGGCAAGCTTGTGAACCATTAGGCTACTGGGACCCGATCCAGTAGTCCGTGAATTCCAAATTCTGTCAATTCACGATATGGCGCCACATCGCCGATGACATTCTCTACTGGTCGCGCCATATGGTGAATTGGGAGAGGTTGGATTTCATTGACGTTGGATCGGGTCTCAGTGGCTAAATAGTACACAAACTCGCCTTCTTACCAGGAGGTCTTAGTTTCGAACCATAGCAGTGGATGCGTACTGCTGAAGAGTTCACAAACAGAACGAAACATCTGTCTAGTATTCTCTGCTGGTTTTCCAATAGTCCTGTAACCAGTATCCGTTTATGAAGAAATCCCGAAAATCATACTACTCAGAATATTTGCGCCGTGAGTTAATCTTTGGAATCCAGGTGGTTTGACTGCCAGATTATACCCCCGTGTTTTACAACACTGACAGTTAGAAAGTTGCCTATTTTCTAAAATACGACTGCATAGATAAAATCTACAAAGTGAATTGAAATCAATATCAACGTCGCCAGACAGCAAAAATTATCCTACACAAACTTAAACGCCTATATGAATTAGAATTAAGAAAGAATAACTTTTTTTACTGCAAAATAAGATGGATGATAGCATCATTTATACAGTCGACATCTTATCAGGTACTTAAAGCCTAGAGAAATTATTATTATTGTTATTATGTACGATTATGTGGAGAACAATTTTAACATGCTTGAAAATGTTACATAATCGTCAATTAATGACAAGAGACTTCAAATTTAATGAACAGTGCTCAGAAATTACACTTATAATAGCTTATACTCAGAAAGCTCAGGAAGTTTAAATTGAAAAAAAATAGTAAACCCCTGGATACAATGGCGAAAGAGTTAAATAACAATGAAAAGAGGTGAGTAGGATAATGTGAAAATAATACGTTGAACAGTAGTGTAGTGAGTTCAACTCAAAATAATAGAAGAAAAGGCGAATTTGATGTGGTTGTGTTCCTTGAGCTGGATGGTTAATTTGCGAAGCTTTCAAAGCCCTACTAGGCAACATCTTCAACGCATACTTCAATTTGAAGTGAGCTTTCAGATTTCTCCACGAGTTTATTAATCATCTCTCCCGGTGACCTTGGACGTGAGTGGTTGATTT